CAGGTTCAAAATCACATTTACCCTAACCCTGACAAAGCTGCATCAACATTTTGTCCCAAGCTGCTACACAGCACCGTGTTAAGTAAATCAGTAGAGGTCACTCAGTTGGAGTGGTGTAGAAGTAAATGGAAATACTCAAGCAAAGCACAAGTACCTCAAATGTGTACTTAAGTACAAGACTTGCACACTTAAAGTGTAAAAATATGTGATTTTATAGAGGATTTCTTTCTGGAGTATAATAAGTGTATTTCCCAAAATGTCAAACTGGACATTTATTATTATTATGTATTATTAATTTTATTACTTAGACCTATGTTATTCCCATAGACTGTACTGTTACTCCTAATGTGTCAGGCCAATATATCAGGTCTATATGGAGTATAAAACAGTATATCAATTGGAGTATAAAAGTATATAAAAGTATGCTTCTATCTGTTCTTTAAAGGCCATGATAACATTTTCTTACCGTAAGCAATGGGTTCCTATGGGAATACAGTTTTTTCTGACACATTTAGAGCAGTTTTGGTCTGGGCTTGGTTTTCTATCATATCTTACTGGGATACTTGAAGAGAACAGAGTCATCTTTAATAACTTTAGAAAAACCTAAGCTGTTGTTGCTCATTTAGTCATGAATATCAAGACTGTAGTGAAAAAAGCATGACATTTAAAGTTTTTTTGTTGTAGATTTTTTGACTAACTTCACGTGCTCTTCTCCCAGCTCCTTGTCCACCATCAGGAGTGGTGTACAGTGGTAACAGCTCCTTTGCCACAGTTTCGTGGAGCGCTTCTGTGTTTGCCACCACGTACACCGTGTACAACAACAGTGTTACACCAAAGGTCCAACTATGCAGCACTGCAGGGCTGTCCTGCTCTCTATCCACCACTGCCTCCACTAACCTGGTGGTCACAGCCAGCAACGCAGCCGGAGAAAGTGAAGAAACGAGTGTCACGAATGGTAGGAATTGATGTGTGTGTGTGTGTGTGTGTGTGTGTGTGTGTGTGTGTGTGTGTGTGCGTGCGTGCGTGTGTGGAGAGGATGATGTATAGAGATTTGATAGAAATTTGGTGTATTCATTTAAAGAGTAAACTGTATTGTACATTTAAAAGCTACGTTTTGCTGCATTTTAAAAACAAAGTAATTGATCTTAGCTTTTTCTCTTTAGTGGTAACACAAGGACGCAGGAGGAGAGATCTCAGTAAACAAATGAAGGGGAATCGTAAGTTTGTATTTGTAACAACAGATATCATTAAAAATGACAACAGTATGATATTAAACGATTCGTAATTACATTTTCATACATGTTTTTTGAAGGGTGAGCGATCTGAGTACTTTTGTCAGACCCATTTTATGATTCCAAATCTTTAATGGTGCCTTTATTAGCAGCTATTTTAAAGCTAAATGAGAGGGGTATTTAATATAGCCTATTAGCTTCAGCATGCAGTCTCATTCATTCCTCATTTACATGACAAACAAGTCTCAGCCAGGACCTGTGTTTTGTTTTTTCCCCCAACAGGAGGCCTCTCAGCTCCCGTGCTGGATGTCACCCAAGCAATGCCAACAGTTATTTCCATTGAGTGGTCTCAAGTGGATGTTGCTTCCCATTATAGCTTGGTTATCAGCAAACAAGGCAACTTCAGTGAGCCTCAGGAGCTAACGGTGTATGGCGAGAGCATCATTCTCACTGATCTGAGCCCAGACTCAACCTACTGTTTCTCTGTGTCGGCCAGGAACTCGGCCGCTCGTGGACCAGGGTCGGAGCCTGTGTGTGTGCATACAGGACAGGGGTTTCCCCAGTAGGAAAACACTTCTGTAGATGTAGATGCACACATCTACCGCTTAAAATGTGATGGTCTTAGCTGTCAAAATGGCATGGGTTTTGACATTTAAGAAAGACAAATATATACATAATACACAACTTTAGATCTGGAAGAATTAACGTAGGTTGCTCTGACATTTCACAACCCTCACTGATGTACTCACTGATCTTTTGTCTGTTTTTGGTTGAGGTTATATATTTTATGTGTCACTACTGGTAACTGAATTTGAATTGCTCAACTTGAATAATTGCATTAAAAAATTTACGGACATATTATTTCTGTTTAAAAACTAAAACAGAAAAGTGACGGCAGCAGCAAAGTTTGAGACAATGAGAAGGGACCTCAGAGGGAAGTCATCAAATTATGCTGTAATGTTTATACTTGGGTGGAATGCTAGAAGTCTGATCTCAAATGGACAAAAAACGGATATGTCAATATATTAAAAACAATACCGGAGGTTATATGCATACAGGGAACATAGTTATTAAAAAAATAAAATAGATAATCAAATCAATCTCAATCTATATGGAGAGTAGATTATAGTTTATATAGTATTTGGGAATTTGGTTTAACAGGAAGCTTACATGGAAAACACATATTGTAAGTAGAGTAGGAAAATGTAAGAAAATACTAAATGTTAGTAGATATTTGAGGGGTAGCGAGGGGAGTAAATACGTCTGCTTTGAAAAATATGGGTCTAATCAGGTCACTTCTTGATTATTGATGTATCATTTATGAATCAACATCAAGATTATTAAAAAAAGTTGGACACAATCCAGTACCAAGTTTTGAGACTGTGCTAAGGGGCCATAAGAACAACTCCAATACCAGCTTTACAGGTGGAATTGGGTGAAAGGGACATAACAAGAGTCATCTGGCTCAGAATATATTAAAATCATGTCAGGAGATGGAAATGCACAGACAAAGAGTTTTTGGACAATAAAGAATGGGGTCAATGAGATAGAAATTGCTGATAGCCCCACTGTGCTATTCTGTGTTGTCCCACCATGGACTCTATGGAGAGCAAGGGTCTATTTAAAAGGGAAAAATATAGAAAAAAATTAAGTCAGTAAGTACATTAATATACAGATGCTTCTAAAATACTGGGCAATAGAATAGGAATAGCGTTTATTGTTCCAGAATAAAATGTAACGTAAAATAAAAGGGTTAGTGATGATCTAGCATTATATAAAGGGGAACTGTTAGCTATTTCTTCTTGCACTATGCTGGAAAAGAGGAAGTTTCCACTGATTCCAGTGGTGCACTAACAAGTATTAAATTCATGCAGTCAGATGCAAGGTGTGACATAGTACTTGACATAACTCAAACAGTAATCAGAATGAAGAGGGCAGGAATAAATTGTAGTGTGTGGTTTCCTACACATATTGGTTTGTATGGAAATGAGCTGGCAGATAAATATGCAAAAGAGGGAACACGAAAAGAGAAATAAGCATGGTTGTAAAATATAGCAAGGCTGAGGTTAAAAATATAATCAAATCAGAAACAAAAAAGAAATGGCAGGAAGAGTGGGTTAGAGGAAATAAGGGTTAATACTACTACAGCATGCAAATGAAAGTAGGAGAAATTAGAGGAAGCACTAGAAATAGAAAGCAGGAGGACATTATATCAAGGATGAGGAATAGTACATTAAACACGTACATAAACTGCGCTATTAAAAAGATATATATACAGATAAGTAAAGTAAGAACTTAAAATAATAACAAAAAATGTAGACTTGCAGTTAACACTGCAACATATTTTTATGAATGTAAATGCTTCCTTATTTAATCTGATTGGTGTTTGGAAAGCAGAGTTGTTGTGAGACTGGTCAGTGTGTCCAAGACGGTCCACTTAGTCTCAGAACATACTTTCTGGGCTCAACTCTTGGTTGTGGAGGACTTTAGGATGGAGTGCATCTAGGGGGCTGGATATAAGGTGATTAAAACATGCGAGTGCTATCTTTTGAATGTTAATTATGAAAGAGTATCTGACTTACTCTGCTCTACGTGTATTTGTTGGTGTCTTATATGTGTAAAATATGTCTGCAGAATTCTGCATGTAAAGATTCATTTGAATGTTTGTCCCGATGGGTACAGCTATGACTGAGTGGACCCCATACTTCACTACAATACAGCACTTCACGTTGTTCCTCCCCACAGAGAACTTGGTCCACTATGTCCACTGTGCTGCTCCTAGACCGAGGTAAAGTCTCTGTTTTATGCTGATGAGCTTGTTCTGCTGTCTCCTACTGAACACGGACTACAGCAACAGCTGATCATAGCAGAACTGGGCCCTGGCAGTAAATATGAAGAAAACTACTGTTCCTGGGTAGTGTTACTTCATAATTGCTTATGCCTCAGAAATATAGAAAATGGCTATTATTCCCTTACAAACTTGGGAAAATATGCTGTATAGTTAAGAATGCTTTTAAAAATAAATGTTAATAGATATTTATCAATTAGCAAAATGTAACGTGAGTGAACAGAAGAAAAATCTAAATCAAATTACTATTTGGTATGGCCACTCTTTGCATTCAAAACAGCATAAATCCTTCAAGGTACACCTACACAAAGTGTAGGCATATCGTCAGGTATCTGATTAAACAATTCTATGTACAATTTAATATGTAGGTTAAAACACAATCATGACCGGAAACAGAAACAGCTATGTAGTGCTGGCCACACACTAGTGTGTTTGTTTTTCTGCACAAAACATAGGACATAGTAGTGCAACTAGCTGATGACAGTCTGCCTCCATGTTTATAGCTGAAATCACGTTTGATCACCAGGATTCTGTAAGATCCCAAGTGCCCAGAACCACCATTCGAAATTGTTTCATATGAAGACAAAATGCGTGGTCCTGCGTCACAACTGAATCGTTTGGTGTATGTTCTTAAGACTAAAATATTAAAAATCAGTTATTTCTGTAGTTACATCTGTGGCTCAGTTAAGATTTCAAAATCCTCTAGTGTGCACTGGGCATAGGAGGAAGACAACTAGGTGAGGAATAACCAAAGTAAACATTATAGCAACACATAAAAATGGCATTGACTGATCTATCAAAAATACTGTTTGCATTCAGCCTCTGTGTTTCAACTCAGTGATTGTAATATCCTTTTTCTATAGTTATCTGTGCTTGTATGACATTTGCATGCCCTTTTCTGTCAAAACAAGAACAGTACATGTTGTTTGTAAAAGTGTTTTATTAGAAAACAAAATGCATCAGAGCAGTAATCCAGACACAGCATAAGCAGGGCTCAGTGTGTGTGATAAAAATTACACTTTGCAGACTGCCCTTTAGAGGATTAAAACATTCTCTGGCTGTCTACACGCGATCATGGGCAGAATTGCTTTGTGCCAATGTGAGCAATTAGTTATCCATATCGTCGCTATACTGAAATTAGAAAAAAAAAAAAAAAAAAAAAAAACTTAAACCTGTTCACTTGTAACCCTTTTCAAAGCATGTTTAATCAGAATACAGTTGACCAAGAAGTTTAAATATAAAGACATTCCAGACATACGCACTGTAATATTAGTCCAATTCAGACTTGTTTAGGCTTTTCTATAGCCAGAAAATAACGGTTATTCTTTATAAATTACACGACCATGGCAACATCCAACCAAGCAAGGAACGCAACTCTGACCATTTATCGTGTGTAGACAGCCTCTGAAACATTATGTACAAACCCACATCTTCTTGGGGCAAAAGAAGGAACCATACAAAATTAAAATGCCACTTTTCATATTCAAGTGAAGACTAACAATGGTCTAACAAGGAGTGAAAAAGGCAGAAAAACAATACGTAAAGCAACATTACATTGGCCAAAGACAACAACTCCAGATGTCCGACATACTGACATTCCATCTTCTTTAGCACAAGTGGCAAATCAGATAACTGGGCAGAAAGAAAGGAGGAAAACAAACACAGGAGTAGAAGAAGTAATATTGCTGCGCGGCGACATTTACTCAGTGCTCTGACTCCGTCTGCGTTCACTATGTTTACTATGGTCATTACTGGACTCTCGGGGATGATGGCTCCTCTCTTTGCTACGACTACGTTTGTGAGGACGCTGTGCTCCGTCTCTCTCCCTGTCTTTATCTCTGCTGTGGCTAAGCTCTCTCTTCCTGCTCTTCTCCTCTCCACCACTTTTGTGTCTCTTCTCCCTGCTTCGACTCCGGCTCGACCTTTTGGCCTTCCTCTCTTCTCTGTGCCTCTCCCTGTCGTCTTTATGCCTCCTGTCATCGGTCTCTCCCCTGTTCTTCTTATCCCTGGACTTCTCCCTCTCCACGCCTCTATCTTTATGGTGTTCCCTGTCCTTCCTCCTGCTCTTGTCATCCCCGCCGTCTCTTTCTTTGTCTCTACGTTCGCTCCTGCGGTCCCGGCTGCCACTGCGGCTTCTTCTGCGTTCTCGTCGGTCTTGGTTCCTGTCTGCGCTGCGAGACCGCCGTCGCTCCCTTTCCCCCCGGTCCCCTCTATCCCTATCCCTTCCCTCCCTCTCCTTCCTCTGGCGGTCACGCTCCCTCTCCAGTTCTCGGTCAAAGCTGGGGCCGTGGCGTTCTTTCTCGCGGTGGTGGCTCCTGCTCCTTGACCGTTTGGGTGACCTTCTGGGGCTTGGTGTCCGTCTGGGCGTCCTGGCGAGAAAGGTATCATTAGCTTCAGAATATTTTATACATTACAATAATTAGAATTCAACCATAAAGGCTGCCCATTGTCTCAGGGTCAGCTGTAAAACTAAATCTAACATAAACCCAGCCTACCACTGATTACAACACATAGCTCACACACATCTCAATGTGAGCCATGTGTCACTTCATAGTTTGAATCATTTACTTACCTGGAGCGGCGTCGTTCCCCTTGCTTCCCTGATTCTGTGAAGGCGGCTTCGTCCTCCTGCGTCTCCTTCTGAGCAACCTTACGAGGCCTAGCCTTCATCTGCTGGTCAATCATTTTCTGCACAGGCACTGGGATACGGGGGAACAGTGTGGAGAACCACTCCAGTTTGGTCAAGAAGGAGCGCAGCATCTCTCCGATGGTCATCACACAGCCGCCTCCTGCCTTCACGTCAAGCTCCTAGAATCAAACGGTGGGAAAGAACCATAGTAAAATTAAATTAGTGCACACATGCAGGACACAGGTAAATCTGAATCCTTTTTCAATCTTGCCTCAAATCAAAGTTATTTGTGATGACCAAGTACTGAACCTTCACCTCTGTTCATCTAGCTTAATCTCTCATATCAATCAAATGTGCCTGGCTTTACTTTGATATTTTTAAATAGAAGAAATATATAATATATAAATATCACAAAAAGGTTGCCTCATCTTAACTGTCTGGCAGTTCCTGTAGTCTGTATTTACAATGTGAGCTTTAATAATCAAGCAAATGTTGTATATTTCTCAGTGCCACACCTCTTTCCTTCACATCATCTGTTAAAAACAGCATCTACAAAAAGAGGTTGCATCCACTGTTTACAGACGAGAAATGAATGGAAGGGAAAGCAGTATCTGAAAACACTGAGACACATCCACATTGAGCCAAAGGGACAATAAAAAAAAAAAAGAAGCCTTGGCTTCTTTCTCTAGTTTCCCAAAAGCACAATGAACTCTTGAAGGGTTGTAGGAGCGTAAACATTGCCCACAGTGTAAGCACAGATCGGAGCAGGTAGCTAAGTGCACACCAGTTGAAGAGTTATCAACTTTATATGGTAGAGAACAGCCGCTTTGCACTCACACACGCAAACCAACAGTGCTGAGATACAATATCCAATTCACCTGCTGCACAATGGGCATCTAAAGAAAAAAACAGGGGAATTAACCAGTTGGGTAGGATTTCATATGATCAATTCAAATATAATACAACAGAACATCAAAGAAGGCCTAGTTGCACAGCCTGGGATAAAATATTTTAACTGAATATGGAGAAAACAAAATAGATTTACCCTCAATATGTGTCTGAGTGTATATCTATATGAATGCTCCAATTGCTATTTATCCCAAATTTAGTTTTGTGCAACAAGTCCTGATAAAATCTTGTAAAAAAAACAAAAACAAAGGGCATGCCTTATTATTACATTGCCTAAAAGATTTACTCAGCATCACATATGGTACTTACCCTGATAAAAATCAGCAGCAGTGCAGTGAGAAAGTAACCTAGCTACTCAGGTTTAGAGGACACAAACCGGGAACAATTAAGCCAAATGAAGGCAAAGGTGAAAAATCAGCTATGAGCATCACAAGGGGAGGAAACGGGACAGCTTTTAACGTGTGTTGTGTCACTGTGTATTTAATAGAGAGAAAGAAACATCAAATTATTACCCGAGGTGACATACCTCCTCATCATCCAGGAAGCTGTCGTACCATTCTATCAAATCTGCTGGGGGCTGAGTATATCTGAAGCAGAACAAAACAGAGAGCACAACATGAGCATCTGCGTCAGCGAATCATGCAATGTTGCACATATTTCACTTATAATTTCAATTTCTATGATCATCTATAAACTCTGGGGTGGCCGTGGCTTAGAGGTAGAGCGGGTTGTGCACTAATCAGAAGGTCGGTGGTTTGATCCACGGCTCCTTCAGTCTGCATGTCGAAGTGTTCTTGGGCAAGATACCGAACGTCATATTGCTCATAGCCATCTGTGTGAGTGTGAATGTATTAGTTTCTGTTTCTGATAAGCAGTTGGCACCTTGCGTGGTGTATGAATGCGTGTGAATGTTGTCTTGTAGTGTCAAATATATAAGTGCTTTGAGTAGGCGGAAGAGTAGAAAGATGCTACCATTTAACTGATATTTTTGTAATTTTACATTGGTACGTTATATTTTAAATAAAAATGTTGATTAAGAATATAGCTTCTTTCTTCTAATAAAGGTCTTAACGTTCTACACAGAAGAATTATAGCAATCAAATTATGTAATCTCGCACAAAAAATACCTTACATACCTTATGTACATGAAGCCAAGGGCTCTGATGTATGGGGAGTCTGTGTGAGTGATCAAACCCATCAGCTGTTTGCGAGTCAACTTGAGTGTAAACAGTTTGTATAGGAGACAGAAAGCAGTCGACACAATACCACCAGTCCCAACTCCACGCACCTAACAAGGATGAAGACATATTTACAGAAGCGCAACATTGCACATTATTCACAGCTAACCTTTTCACAACTGACCCTTTGAGAACAGTACTCAAGTGGTTAAGTACAATAATGATTCAGTCAAGTCTATCCTACTTGTAAATCACATTAAGTGATTTCAACAGAATGCTTTACAATATCATCCAGGCAGGTAAGGGAAATACAGATGGGGGGAGATGGGGAATATAAAAAGCACGTACTTCTCACTTACCCCTCCGCACATTCCAGTCTGGCCTGCAGTCTTTCTGCTTCCCTTCTCCCAGGGCTCAGCGTGAGTTACCTGTAGACACACAGAGAACAACATTAGCTACTTTATACCCTCACCTGTCTGCGACACCTTAGTTGAGCTGCCATTATACACACCACGCATCAGAAAGATCCTGTCACATTAACGTTAGCTACATTATAAATGCTCCAAATTATCTATACAGTGTAACGTTAACCTGTAACGTTATCCGTAACAATGCCGAAGTGTCCAAATCCCTCTTAAGTTTTGACCTAACGTTAACACTTTACTAAGCACCAGAATGGTACTGTAACATCTTCTTAATAACGTTAAACATTCGTAACGTTAAAATAGACTGTGTTTATATCGCCTGCCAACTTACGCCACCGTATCGGATTTAACTTAACGTTAGTCGCTAGGTTAGCTAACTTACAACTTAACGTTATTAATAAGAACACCACGTGAAACATATTTGAACGACATAATAAGAATTAAGCAGACATTTTTCCGAGTCCTAAATATTAATGTGTTACATGTCTGATCCGTTCTACTTGTTATTTGAAGACTGCGGTACATGGCAACGTTAGCTTGACTGGACAGTGGTTATCTAACTAGCATGCGGTTTAGCAATTGCTAACGTTACGTTACCTTGAAGTAGATTTCGTCCACAACTTCATGGTACGTCTTTAGTTCGTAGAGCTGAACTTTGAAATATGGCGAAGACAACACATTTGTAAGAATCATTGGGTTGAGGTTCATAGTCTTTTCGTTGCCCCACAGGGGCAATACATTTCCATGTTTTCCTGGGGCAGTTTTGCTAACGGCCTGTGTTGGTAGCTGGTTTCCGACATTAGCCATGTTAGCTGAATCCCACGCCGCTAAGTTTAATTTACAGTTAGCGTATTTCCGATTACAGATCCATCAATATTAAATAGTGAAATGTCAATCGTTAACAATTTCGTCCTTTTAGTTGCAGCTGGCTTGTGGTTAAATTGGTGATAACAACTTCCCGCCGTCGTTGTAGCTAAAGTGCTGTTGCGAGGTGGAACCGGAACTGTATCGTTAGTGTTGCAGTAAACCGCTGCTGCTGTAACCGTAGATACGCCTGTACGGTGAACCTTTCATTTAGAAAATAAAAGCATGTACTCACACACCACACTCCTGTTTGATAACTGTGCAAACAAATATATCTAATGCTTTTAAATGTGTAATCATGATATATTTATAACTGTTATTTGCCCCTTTCTAATTTAATTTGCCCTTTCATTTAAATTCTTGGTTGGGAGTTACACAGAGTACACGTTTTTTAAAATTTACTTTTTATTAGGCCTTAAATACTTAAAAACATTATGTGCTTTACACAGTTTACTTTCAGTACATACATAGTTTACATACTACTGATAAGACTTTTTATATGCTGAAAATATACATATAAAATATACCGTTTGGCACATTTACAAAATAGGTGGTAAAAATATATTCATTTCTTTTGACTTTTCAGAAAACAGACATAAACATGCATGCACACAAAATAGACATACTGAAGGAACAAAACATACACACTGAATGGTACTTTAAATGCAGTCATCCTCCCTCACAACCAGGTGAACAGAGGTGGTTATGTGGAACAGGCTTGACCTACTGACACACAATGGTTTTACAACCACTGTAAGTAGTTTTTTATTACTTTAAATATATGAGACTTCAAGGAACAGACACAATCACCCCCCCCCCAGCTACTTACGGTACATGTAAAATGGTGAAACAAAATAAACCATACCAAAGTAAAAACATGTTTGATACTTTAACATAGTTTTTTAAATAACAGGGACCCCCCCTTAACAGCTCAAATGTCACGAACATGGTTGAACAATGTGTGTACAACTACAGTACTAACCCCTTGACAGTTTTCAATCAGTACACCAATTCAGTCACCAATAAGTCCCATTAATGTGGCCTTCACATCCACTTCTTGAACACTAGGGGGCTCTCGTCGTCTACAGACACTGTAGGTCAGATGCAGAGGGATTGCATAAGAGAAATTAAATCTCCTGGAAGGAGGCGGGAGCAAATTCTGATGGCACCTCCATTACTCAGTCTTGTGTCCCCCACATCAGTGTAATATGGCACCCTTTATGACAGACACATGCTTCCCAAAGCTTAGCGCTTGATCACCACCTGCTCAAAGGCTCCAGCTGCGACCCTGAAAGAGAATGCCACAATGTGTTACATGACAGGAAACAAGGGTGGTTATCATAGAATGAAATCAAAAGTATCTTAACATGAAAATGTATATGTTATGAAACAAACGCCATGATGAAAAGTCCTGTTTGGAATCCCTATTTAGCTTATTTGTAATGAATTTATACTTGTTGTAAATGCCTGCTGCGTGGCACCCACAATCCACTGTTACATACTCACACCCACCTACTGTGTTGGCTTCCCAAGGCTGTACTCCCACCAGGACCTACAAACAGGCTGAGACCCTCCTCTGCAGACACATACATAACACACATAAAAAATAATAATATTGCCATCAGTGTCTAGTCTTGGTTTGAAAATGGCTCACATTAAATATAAATGACAATTGATGGGGGGATATTGTAGTGGAAGCTGGTGAGACAGCTGACAAGGGAGGTAGTTGAGAAACACCATCAAAAGATGCACTTCCACACTAAAAATGTGTGCAACATAAGTCTCACTAAATAGGGAGTCGCCATTCCGTAATACAATAAATGACTTCCCTCTACAATAAGTGTTTGGTTAAGGACAAGGGTTTGTAACATGGCAGCCACATTGTGTGCTCAGCTATCAGTGAGGTTAAACCGCCCTTGTGGTATTCATAGATATAAAATACAACACAACCTCTGTAATCCTAAATCTAATAAATTTTAATATTTAGCCTGGTAGGTATGGTCCAAATTGACATCCAATTAATGATTTTCCATCATTGTCATTGTTCGACATTTGACGGAAGCATTAAAAACGTTGCGTTGTTGAATTGCAACACCACAAAGTAATTTGATCCCATCAGCAGGATGGTAGGCAACTTTCCAAGCCAGCCTTCACAAGTCCACTAAGTTACGGATTAGTTGTACATACCCTCTGCACTGGAGTCCAAGAAGCCATGGCTGAAATCCTGGCTCTGCAGGATTTTCTCTATTATGTCATCAGCATCCACCCTTGTGGCATTAACTCTCTTCAGCTGATTCTCCATTGAGTTCTGCTTTACTGGATGTCTAATGGATATAAAGAGGGTGGAATACCACACAAATGGAAAAGACACAAAAACAAAAGACATCAGACAATATATTTAGTGGACCAGGGAAACATTACAGTCTGACCCCCTGGTGTGTTAATAGCAAGGTCATTATACACAAAGGTCAAAGCCAACATAGAAATGTGTCAAAAGGAAGAAGTGGAGAAATTAAAAAACAATAAACACATTTTGATATAACTAAATAGCAATGTTTATCATTTTCGTCATTATAATATAGTGCAGATCATAGCTAGCCTATAAACAAAGAATACCAAATATAAAGTCAAATTATTAATATATACATGAGGGCAAAAGCCAAAACAAATTCATAATCCACAACCTTTCTTTTATTTGCTGTTGTGCGTCTAACAGAATTAGAATATAGAAATGCTGCAACACACAGCTTGTCCATGACAGATGAATCATGTATGCGTGTACGGGCAGTGAATGTCTCTTAGAGTGGATCAAATTTGTTTTTCTTTTGAAATGTTTAATAGTCAGAAAACAGGCAAAGACCTAAAATTGCGGTGTCAATTTCATACCCTGGTTATACTATTTGTATTACCGTGGAACTTTAGCAGGGGTAGAGGGTTGTTCAGGTGCATGGTGACAGGTTGCAGAGACGGGGGGAGTGGTCCGGCTCTCCCGCTCTCCTCTCTCGCCGTGCTGATCACTGGGCTCCAGGATGCTGCCGATGCCTGTGGAGGCAGAACCTCCTGATGCGCTCCTCCGATGGCTTAGATCTGTTAAACTGGAGTGATTTGAGCTGTAACCTACAGTACGGGAGAGAAAACAAACACTGAGGCTATGCTTATGTTTTGTGTAACTGGTGGGTAGTGATTTTGCTTTCGTTTAAAGGGAATAAATACAGTACCAGTCAAAAATTTGGACAGACCTGACCATTCACTTGAATGACACAGTGCATCCAAACTTTTGGCTGGTACTGTATGTTTCTGTGTTTGGTACCTGAGATTTTTGACTGCTGACTTGTATAGCTGGGTGTTCTTGAGTGACCGTACGCTATCAGCTCCTCTGGGACTGATACTGACTTTCCTGGAGTCTCTGAACGAAAACACACGTTAGCAAAACATTAAGTAAATATGTACACAAAGCTAAAACTTCTATTCAAAGGAAGAGTTTGTTATTTACAGTAAACCCCTAGATGATTCACTTTTGTGAAGGCGAAAATGTAACCATTGTCTCCTGAATAATCATGGTACGTCAACCTTGTCAAAACTACCTTGTCTACAACAAGAAACTCTTGTTAAGAACTGAGAAATTAAAATGTTGCTGTTGTAAGGAACAGCAAACTTGTTGAAGCCTTATAGAGTCTGCATAGACATACCAGTGAGTGAATGAGATATGTGCATGTCCCCTCCCTTTCTGTCCTCAAGGAGACATTCTGCTTCTGCCTGTGGGATTCCCAGAGTCATAGCTGTAGATGGGGGCCTAAAGGGAACACAGAACAGAGCGATGTTACTGAGAAGCAGGGTGGTGTCTTAAGTGTTGTTGGAAAAGGGCTCCTTCAAGTGGTTTATCAGCAGCAGGTCTGTTTACATAGACACTGCAAATGTGACTTTAACCTGATGAAAGTCCCTATGTGTAGAATTGACATTGGAAACTTTGGCTACTCTTGGTGGTCGGATACAAAAAGAGACGGTAGCACACAGCAATGCACATTGCTACCCTGAGACTGACAAATTTTTCTGAACACAACAACTTATGCCAGCCAAATCACAAAATATTGGTTATTTCAATATTAATATTAATACTCTGCTTCACAGTCAATCAGGTGAACAGCCTAGAACTGCTGTAACACTGGGCTGTTTTTTTTGTTTGTTTCAGACTAAATGTCAATAAAGTCAAATTGAATTATATATATATATATACATATAGTTGGACTGGGAAATATTGTTTTATGCTGATGCAGTCATCTAGCTTTAAATGTAAAAATACTGTAATGTGTAATGGCTACACTGCATATATTTAAACACATCAGCAAGCAAACATCAAAGCCACAGTCTATTTGATCAAGCCATATATTATTTATAAGTTGAGGAGAAACAGAAACTACTTTTTAGGAACTTCAGGTTTAGCACACATTAATACAGGAAACCCTACTTCTCTGCTACTGGGATGTTGTGTTAAACTCAGGAATGAGGGCGGACAGGCACACAAAGAGTGACTGATGACAATAAGTAACCCTGCGTGGGATGAATGAATAGGATATCTTTGAGTTTACACTTTACACATCTCCTAGGCAGCAGAGTGTGTATTATTACACCAAGAGGCAGATGGAACATGAAAGACTAGAAGAAGCTAACTATTTGCACATGGTATGAGCATTGTCAGCAGTGTGATGTTACATCACGTCCTTTGTGACAAACTGCGATACTTACAGCTCTTAACAAAAGACAAAATAAAACCTCTGGGCTGATCACATATCAGCTGTTGCTCACGAATGAGGTTGGGCAGTTCAATGTCTGGGTGAGGTGTTATTAGCTCTCAGATAAGACTGTGATAAGATCTAAAAAATAATAAACAAAATAATACTTCATAACTTCAAAGTCTGTCAGTAATAGCAGACAAGAGTGTGTGTTTTGGTGACAGACAGGATGTGATGTGAAACCTTTCCTCTGTGGTTAGATGCAGGCTTTTTTATGTGGGTACATTCTTTGCAATCATGACTAACAATGACTTGTAGTTGAATAAAGTTAAACATAATAGACAAGTCAACATTTCCTTAGGTGCACATTTCAAATTGAAATGACATACAGATTTTGAGGATGAGTAATACAAACAAACAAATGCATT